GCCGGCCCGGCCACGGCCCCGGCCCCCGCCGCGGCCGCCTCGCTGGCTTCGGTTCAGCTTAATGATGTCGTCCAGAGACATGTCCATTTTGTCGGCCATGGCGGGCGCGGAATCGGCCTCAGCTAGAGCCCGCGCGTCAGCACGCTGGAGCGTCACTTCCGGCGCCGCGCGGCGCCTTCCGGTGCCGCGTACTCGGAGCGGCCGCCGATTGGCTGCAGGCGGGCGGGGGCAGCGGGGCGGAGCGGCGCGTGCGCGAGAGGACGCGAGGCTCGGCTAGCGCAGCTGCGAGGTGCTGGGTGCTGGCCCCGGTCGTTTTTGTACCTTCCCGCGCCGGCGGCGCTGCCAACGGAAGGCGGGCGGGGCGGCGCGCGATTCGCCGCGGAGGTGCGAGGGCGCGGCCGTTGGGGCGGGTCCGGGCACCGCCCTTCTCCCTTCCCGGGCGGCGGGGGGCGCGGGGCGGTGTGGCCGGGGTCGGGAGGCTCCCCGCCTCGGGCGAGTCCGGTGTGGGGCGCAGGACGCGCGCACTGGGTGGCCTTCCTGGGGAACTGGCGGGCGGTCGGTGTTCGTCTGTCACTACGGGTAGTCCGCGCGGCCCTCTGTTGTTACTACCGAAGCCAGAGCGCCCCTCGCGGGCGTCCGGGCGGAGCGTGCGGCCGACGCAGGTGCCCTGGATGAGTGGCCAGCCTCAGTCGCGGGGCTCCCGCTCTCCCAGGGGCAACCACAGCCCGGCCGCCCTCTCGGCGGCTGCCGGACTCTCAGGGCTCGGACGGCGAGTCCCGCGGGCGCAGACCCTCGGGCTCCGGGCAGCGCCTGTCCTTCGGTGCTGAAACGCTGAGCTCTGCAGACTAAATGTTGTCGGGTGCTCTTTTCGCTCGCCCGCAGGCTCCGCCGCCATGAAGGTGAAGATCAAGTGCTGGAACGGAGTGGCCACTTGGCTCTGGGTGGCCAACGACGAGAACTGTGGCATCTGCCGGATGGCCTTCAATGGCTGCTGCCCGGACTGTGAGTGTCCCCTGTGCCCGCTGCCTCTGAGCTCTGCCTGCTCGTCCGGCCTCGGCGTCTCCCCAGAAATATCTGCACGAAGTTCTTGGGTTTTGGTTTCCCTTTCCTCCAGAAAAGTTGACAGAAACAAGCCAGGCGGTTTGGGCCGTTATTTTGTATAAAGACCCCATCAAAAGTTTTGTAAGAAAAAAATGGTGCAGGGCCGGCCCCCTGGCTTAGCGGTTAAGTGCCCCCGCTCCGCTACTGGTGGCCCAGGTTCAGATCGCCGGCATGCACCAACGCACCGCTTCTCTGGCCATGCTGAGGCCACGTCCCACATGCAGCAACTAGAAGGATGTGCAACTATGACATACAACTATCTACTGGGGCTTTGGGGAGGGAGAAAAAAAAAAAGGAGGAGGATTGGCGATAGATGTTAGCTAAGAGCAGGTCTTCCTCAGCAAAAAGAGGAGGATTAGCATGGATGTTAGCTCAGGGCTGATCTCCCTCAAAAAAAAAAAAAAAACCCGCCCGCCCCCCCCCCATATGGTGCAGCCTTTTTTCATGATCAGACTCGGCTATGAAACACATGGGACAAAAAGATGTGTGAAAACTTTTTATTTGAAAATTCTCAACCAAACAAAAAAATGGAATGTTATAAGGACACCCCCCCCAATCCGGCACATAGACTGACAATGGATAAGTAAGATGTTTTGGTATTTGTTTTATGTTTTAGCTGAATTGTTTTCAACTAAGGGCCAGCCCCGTGGCTCAACTAAATGATAATTGACATCTCACCCCACTCACTTCAGCTGCATCTCTAAATGTAACGCTGTTTTTACCCAGCACTGTTGTCACATCAGACAACATGACAATTCCTTAGTGTCACTCCCCATTCCTAGTCCTTGTTCATATTGCTCCAGTTGTCCCCAAATGTCTTTTCATTCTTGGGTGGTGTGAGCCAGGACTGCACATCTGGTTGCTCTGTCCCTTAGCTATTTAATCTAGAACATCCTTTCTCTGCCTTTGTCGCTTTTTTTAAGACATCTGACTCTTAGAAAGTTGGTGTGTTGCCTTGCAGAATGCCTACTGTCAGCTTTTATCAGTTTCTTTGTGATGTCTTTTGTATTGTTCCTTTGTTCCCAGTATGTTCTGTGAAGTAGAAAATATTTAATTATATATTTGTCAGAAGCAGATTTTTGCACCTGTGAATTTAGTTTTCAGTCAGACCCAAGTGAACATGAAGCAGAATGGGGGTGACGGCTTTGCCTAGGGGGTGGTGCCCCAAGGAAAGTGGGCTTGGGGAGTGCTGCCGAGCTCCGTGCTGCCCCGGGGGTGACCAGGCCTGGTTTTGGGGGCGAAGTGAATGCCCAGAATAATCATAGGGCTTTGCTTCTTACAGTGAAATTCAAATCATTGACTTTTAGTGCAAATACTATTTTATTCTAGGCTTAATGTTTACATCTGCCTTGGCTGAAAGGAAATCGCATCACCCAGGAGTTAATCCATCCTGATTTAATCAAACAGGCAGAATGTAATCTTAGGAAATAATTGATTGGCTCTACTTGGCCAGGTTTTGCTTAGTAGCAAATGAGAATAGCAAGGCACAAGATCTGTCTCATCTAATCTGTTTTAAATGTCCCTTTCTGAGGGTACAACAAAGGCTGTGGGAGCCTAAAGGGACAAGTGTTTGCAGTTTCCTAAGCAACAGATTGTTATTTTGTGAAAAGACAAGTTCTGGGAAGCATGTGACCTCAGCCCATTGTGGGCCAGTGCGCTTGTGTGTTAAAGATGGCACCTGTGGGCCAGCACACGTACCATTCCAGCTGTGCCCAGGGCTGGGCGTCTCCACGTTTGCGGGCATGCTCAGGTTTTGTTGAAGTGGGTCCGTTGGCTGCAGAGAGTAGGAGGTTTGGAGTCTGATCTTCGGGCCTGCTGGTTGTTAAGTTAGAGTGGGCCAATTGTAATATGCGAAGCGTTTGACAAGCCTAATAAGGTGCTTTCTATCCAGATTAAGTGACATTGGGTTTCTGCTACTAAAATTGAACTCCTGTGAAAAATCCAGAGTGACTAAGGCTGTAATAAATCTGCTCCATGTCCAGAGGGCTTTGGGAATAAAAGTCTTGTTAAGAGGTGTTTTAAATAAAGGACTTCTATTAAGACACTAGCAAGCTCTTGGTGAGTCACTGTCATTGTGAGTCACTGTCATCTCGCTCTTGTGCTCATCAGATGCCTCAGGCAGACGCTAGAATGAAGCAGCTCCTTTGTCCAAATGAGCCCTGCCACAAATGGACAGGGTGGCTTGGTTACCCCTCACAGTGGGCTCTTAGGGCACCCCCACCCACCGGTGGGCTAGCTGGCTCTAGCTCATCATTTCCCATCCTCTGTTTGTAAGGGACTCTAATTTGATAGGGGTGATTCCAAGTAGAGTTCTGCTGAGGTTGGAAAGGCCCTGGGGGTGCGGGTGATGGGAACTAATCTACACCGGGTGTCACAGCATGTGGGCTCCTGGCAAAGGGTCCTACTCACCCCACCCCCATGGCCTGAGTTATATAGTTTTGTATTTGCCAAGTATGTGATTTTCTGGGTTGTTTTGTCATAAAAGTTTCAGAAAGGGAGTGACATCTTTGTTACAGAAAGACTGAGAAACACTGCCCCAAATAAAGGAAAAGGAATAAAAATGTGTAGCAGTGCCGTCCCTTCTGACTCAGTAAGATGGATGTGCACCATGGAGCAGGGGCTCTTCAGGGGTGGGAAGGAGTGGCATGTTTTCAGCAGACATTGAAGGATATCGTGCCTCACCTGGCACCCACACCAGCCGCCTGGTCAAAATGCTGCCCTCGGGAAGTGGCAGCTGCCTGTTAGTCGTGTGGCCCTGGTCTGTCTGTAAGACAGGGTGCTGTGGAGGCTGCAGAGCACTGTGAGGTTGGACGAGAGCACAGGCCAGGTTCCCAGCCCCTTGTTCAGCGAGGAGCAGAAGCTAAGTGGGATTTGAGAGCATCGTTTTGTGGATCAGCCGTAGTGTTGTTTCTTTAACGTATTTAAGGATCACGGGTCCCCGTGTTCGGTGTCGAGCATAAGGACCAGGACCACAGGCAGCCATGCCCAGCCTGTGGTCAAAGGAGTCCGAAGGCAGTTTCCGTCTTCTAGGACCTCCCAGACCTGCACTTAAGACACATGTTGAACGGAGCTGCTGCCTGGGCAAGACATCGCCTGCTTGCCCGGTCCCAGCTTGTCCGTCTGGTCCCTGTTGGTGCACCAGTGACATCTGGGTACAGCTAGCGCTCGATAGGCCCCCAAAGCAGTGCTGTGGGGGTGGCACCTGGAGAGGGTGGAGGTCGCAGGCTGCACTCCTCCATGCCCATGGGCACCCTGGCACAGGCCTCGGGGGTGGTCATGGTGCTCTGCTGGCACCACCTGTTTGATGTGGGTTTTCCAGATTCTTGAAAATCAGAGGGACACTGTTTCTCTTGATTCCAGGGAGTGTCCTCTCTGCACCAGGTCCTCTCCACGAAGGTGGCATTTCCAGGCACATGGGGTGGAATGCCAGCAGCATGTACCTTGCGCCTTGGACGTGGGACTCTTGTAGGCTAGAACCTGCTGACAGGCCGGCCGTAAACACCAGTGTCCCCCGCACACTCCCTTGTTCTGCTCTGGGTCCCTGCCACCCAAGGAGGGAACCTTCTAGATCCCAAGGCTCCAGCCCTCCTCCTCTTCATCAGGATGAATAGTTCACTACTCAGATTTGTGTCCCCTGGGTGGGCACCTGGACACGTTAACATCCTAACCCTCTTGGCATGACAGGTCAAGTGGCAGAGCTGCAGTGTGTCTGGGAACAGGCCCAGGCCCTGGGAGGCCATCGGGTGGGGGCTGCAGCCCAGGGAGGGGATAGTGAGCCGAAGCAGCCCCCGGTGGTCATTGCAGGTCTTTCTGTTGGGGTGGCTGTGTGGCCCAATCAGTAATAACACTCCTGATTTCTGTCTTCTTTGAAACATGAGACAGGAGGGGCTCCGGCCACCCTGGGCACACATCCCCCCCGGGTTGCAGTGGGCTGGCACCGATGCCTAACATCCTGGGGGTCCCGTGCTCTGTGTGACCTGCCTGGTCCTCTCCTGTCCCCTCCCACAGGCAAGGTGCCGGGCGATGACTGCCCCCTGGTGTGGGGCCAGTGCTCGCACTGCTTCCACATGCACTGTATCCTCAAGTGGCTCAACGCACAGCAGGTGCAGCAGCACTGCCCCATGTGCCGCCAGGAGTGGAAGTTCAAGGAGTGAGGCCAGCGCTGCACCCGACGCCCCCTCCCCTCGCCCCAGATGGTATCCTGTGCCCCCCACCCCCTCCATTGGGACTGGGTGGCCATGGTCTCCACCAGGACGGTCCTCTCTGGGCTGCGACAGGGTGACATGAGGACCAGAGCTACATTTGTCTTTTTCCATCATAACGTTGACACTTTCATCCACTAAGTGAAACTCATTAAACTCCGGAGTTGCTGGAGGCTTCTGGTGCCTGTTTTCTTGGTGCTGACGTGGTCGGCATGTATGGATATGAAAACGCTCATGAATAAACATTTTGGTGCAGTGTGAGAGGCCCTGAGTCATGACTCCAGAGGAGAACGAGTGCAGGATCAGCCGGAAGAGCCCGGGCCAGGGGTGACTGGCTCAGGCAGCTTGAAGGGCCTGGCGGTGCCGAGGCCCTGGGGTATGTTCTTGCCAGCAGGGGAAGCAAAGGAACTGTCAGCAGGCCTCTCACCTGATGGAAGCCAGGCTGGGGCCCTGGGGACCAACTCTCAGGCTGGTCTGTGGGACCCTGGCTGGGCACAGCTGGCAGCCACTGCACACAGTCCCTCCTGCCAGAAGGCCATCCCTGAGCAGGTGCTGGTCGTGCTGAGGAGATGGGCTGTGCTGAGGCTGCCATGGCCATCTTCTCAATCCCTTCTCCTTTGCTCCAGCTGAAAGCCAGCTCTATGGGGGAGCTGTGACTCGCCAGTGTAAGGACCAGTGTCCTTGACATCAGGATGTGTGTTCCCAGGTGTCTGAGGGTCTCCCTCCCTAGGGAAGGACAGCCCTTGGGAGGCTCCTTTGGGCACCTCTGTTCCTCCACAGCTCCTGTGGGGTGGTGGCCCTTAGGAGGCCACGGTCCCAGCCCTGGGTGTCTCAGGCAGCTTCTGGATGGAGACAGCTGCAGGCTGTGTGTCCCCATAAGCTGAAGAGAGTCAGTTGGCACTGGCTCCTTCCAGTCCATTCTCGATGACTCCTCCTCTCAGGGTCACTGCCTGGTGCCCCCGTAACCCCTTCCGACTGCCTGGTGGGAGGCTGGTTGCTGAGCACTTTTACACTACTCTCCTGTTCTCAGTCCCCAGAGGAGAATCCCAGGCAGTCCACTTGGAGGGGCAGGCCTCCTGGTCACCTGTGTGGCACCCTACTTCCTGTCTGGACATTGTGTCCAGAGGAAAGGAGGCCCTGGGGACCCTCTCCCTCACCAAACCTGGTCATCACATGCCCCTTGCCCAGAAACCCAGCTGCCAGGGCTCCATGCTGGTTTCTCTAGGGAGGACACATCCAAAGGAAGACAGGCTGTGACTAGGATGTTTGGGGAGTGTGAGTGGGAGGAGGGGCGCCTGAGTGAGCCTAATGGCTGATGTCATCTGCCAGGGGAGGGCTGGCAGCCCTGGGCCCTGGGGTAGCCTCCTGGGTGCTCCCATCCGCCCTGCAAACAAAGTTATGTGTGGCCCCTGGGTTCTGGCAGCTACTCTGTTCTTGGAGCCTCGTGTGTCTCTAATGCGTCCAGACCTGGGGAGTCACAAGGAGTTCACAGCCCAGCAGGGAAAACGACCCTCTCCAGGAGGCGGGCCATGGCCACTGCAGAGGACCCCACTGGGCGGCCTGGCAGGCCTGTGGCTTCCTGGGGTTTCCTGATCTCAGCCTGGCCTGCCCCCAGCCTACCTCCCTTCCCTGGAGTTCTGCCTTCTCTGGGGAATTCTCTCCTGTGACAGGATGTGCCCATGGGGACTGTGTGCCTGGGGCGCTAGACCCTGAACCAGCTTTCCAGGCCTTTCACCCTCTCCCGTTGGGGTAGATGCTCTGGCCCCAGGTCACACAGCCCCCACCCAGCAGGCCGCTCCCACTTCCCTGCCACTCAGATGACTCAGCACTTTTTCCTGGGTTCCAGGCCTAGTCCTCTCAGGGCCCGCTTGGGCCCCTCAAGCTGGACACGCAGCTGCCCGCCAGGCCCTGCACATAACCAGAGTCCAGCTGTCTGCCTTCTCCCAGGAAGCTCAGGGCCCCTGCAAGGTCCTCTCAGGACCCCATGACCTCCCCCAACCCCTCCTCCAGGAGGCAGAGGGTCGCACCACCAGCCCTTGCAAATGCTCTCCCCTGGCCTGCCTCCCTCATCTCCCTATGAGCGTCGCCCCACTGTCCCCAGTAAGCCATCCTGCCCACCCTGCCACCAGCTCCATTTTCCCACTCGGCTGTGGCTTGAGTCAGGGTCTGTGTCGATTCATCTTTTAGACCCTGGCACACCAAATGAGCTTCTGGACAGTGACTGTCGCCTGCCCTCTGTGGCCAGCCCCAGTGTTTGGGGGGGTGACTGGAGAGAAGGCCTGAGGCTCCTAAGGCCACCTATGCCAGGGCAGAGCTGGGTGGGAGGGGCCTGATTCTGCTCAGCTGTCCCTTGGTCTGGTTTCCAGAGGTCAAGCCTGGCCTTGGTGACCGCTCCTCCTAGAGGACCCCACCAGTAGCAGCCATGTGGGTAGAACCTTCCCCTCACCATGGGTGTGAAATAGACTATGTCCCCCAGGCCTGCCCAGACTTGGATGCCTCCTCAACGAGCCCTTGGCCCTGAGATCAGTTCCCCTTTAGATCGGGCAGTGTGGTTAATGGCTCTCTCTCCAGCCTCACAAGCGCTGGGGACCTCTGGGGGATGACTCTTAGGGCTGGCATGCCCTCGCACTGGTTGGGGGTTCAGTGCAGCCCCCTTGCCCCTGCTCCCCCTGAGGCCGACCATGAGCGGTGGGAGTGGCCGGGGAGGGTCTGGACGCCCCTCCCAGCAGGAGCAGGCAGGGCCAGAGCCCGGGACACCGGCGGGGGATGGGGAGGATGAGGGCGTCGGACGCCCGCCTAGCGCGGGACCCATCTGCGCCTCTCTCTTTGCCCGCCCGCCGAGGGGCGCCGACCCAGCGCGGCTTCTTCCTCCGGCATGGGAGGCCCGTCGGGTCCCCTGCGCCCGCCCCGCCTCGTCCCCGCGCAGATATAAGGGGGCCGGCTGCTGCCGCTCCGAGCCCCGCCGCTGAGCCCCGCCACCGCCCGCGTCCCCATGGCACGGCCCGCAACGCTGCTGGCCGCCGCCCTGGCGCTGTGCCTGCTGCTGGCGCCGACCGGCCTCGCGTGGTACAAGACGGCGGCCGGGCCCAGCCTCTACTCGGTGGGCCGCGCCGCGGGGCTGCTGTCCGGCCTCCGCAGGTCCCTGGACGCGCGGCGCGCCGAGTCCCCCGTGGGCGCGGGACCCCCGGTCCAGGCCGCCGCCTTCCCGGAGCTGCGCCCCAGACTGCGGAGCCTCGTGAGCGCGAGCGCAAGGGGCGCAGGGCGCCGGCGGGTGAGGGCAGGGGGCGCGGGGGGCGGGGCGCGGGCGGCTGTGGGGCGGGGGTGGCCCCCTCAGCCGCCTCCCGCCCCCAGATCCTGTGCGTCAAGGACGTCACCCCGAAGCTGCAGAGCTGCGAGAGGCTCCCCGACGGCCACGCCACTCTCCAGTGCAAGGCGGACGTCTTCCTGTCGCTCCGCGCCGCTGACTGTCGCAGCACCTGAGCCCGACCCGGACAGCCGGAACTGGCTGGTTCACGCGGGTATCCCCGCGGCCCACGGCGGGTACCCCAAGGCCTCCTGGGCATGAGATGGCGCCCAGCACTGCCCACCCTCTCCGCAGTAAATGGCTAAAAGAATAAGTGCAGCCGGCCTCTGAATGCGGTGGGCAACGGGTGGGGCTTGCCGGAGGGGGATGGGACCCATAAGTCCCCAAACCTGCAGTCTGCCACCAGAGCACACTCCCTTGGCCCCCACCAGGTCCTGGGCACAGACAGCTCCCCGGTCCTTCAGGCCACCAGGCTCTCCTCAAACATCCTGCACAGGAGCACCCCAAACCCCACAGCTCCCAAACGCTGCTGTGAACTTTCCTTGGCCCCGCCCCCCCACCTTACCTGGTCCTGGAAGCCTTCTAGAGCCTCCCACCCCGCTCAGCCAGTGGCTGCTCTCCATGTCTTGACATCTCCAGCCCCTGCCCCATCACCCCACGGCTCCCTGTCTTTGTCCACACAGCTCCTGGATCCTCTTGGGAGGTGCCGCCTTGTCCCCCACTAGCCATCAAGTCTACTCAGCCAGCTCGAAGGTCCCGCCTTATAGAAACCTCCCCTGATTACCCCACCCCAGGTGGCCCTCCTGCCTCAGAGATTTCCACTATGGCCCTGCCTCGCATCCTGGGTTTTTTGAGGCCAAAGCTCTTCCTTACTAGAGGGGCAGCTCCTGGGGTCACTCCTTTCTTAGAGCCAAAATACCTCGAAGTACTGAGCACAAGGCAATGACTCCATGTGCTGAATGAATGAATGAGCAGGCCAGGCCGGGCAGGGGTTGCTGCAGCAGGGTGGCAGAGCTGCCCAGCAGTCCTCCCACCCACACCAGAGGTGGGCCCAGCATCCCCACATCTGATGTCAGGCAGCCAGCCCGCCTCCTCTGAGGCCTGGGAGTCTGTGTTCACCCCTCCTCTGACCCACGGGGAAGCAGGTGTCCCCCACAGCCATGGGTGCTGCCCTGCCTCAAGAAGGGAGGGGCCGGCAGGACCCTGGCTCCCGAGTGCCACTGCCTTGTCCAGGGGCCCAGTCCTGAATGGCCTCCCCCAACCCCCATTCAGGCTAATTCCCTCATTTACTTATTGGAATCTCGAAGTAGACTCCTGCCCCACCCCCACTGAGGCTGACTGAGTTCCTTTCAGAACATGAACTAGGGCCTCTGGCAGGGCTGGGTCCCAGGAGGCAGGAAGGCGAAGTAAGGGTGTGAGCCCTACTCATGGAGGCCTGGAGCCTGCCTTGGGGTGTCCCCCATCCTGTGGAGTGCCTGGCCAGCTGGGCCTCAGGGGGCCCGAGAGAGCAGGAGGCTGTGGGTGGGACCCACAATCCCTTGCACCTGGGTGGATGCGTCTCTGGGGGTGCCGGCCTTCCACACCCCCAGGCCCTGCATCTCCTTCAACTCTGGCCCCACTGGGGCTCCCTGGCTGCTGCTATGGGCAGTCTCCAGTCCCCACCCTCGGGGTGCCACCCAGCAGGGAGCTCTGGGTGGGCCTAGGGCTGACTCCAGCGTCAAGAGGAGCCTGCCAGCCTTTCCTGTGTCTTCCCCTCTCCGAGTCTACGGGGGACTGGCTGCTCCCTGCACTCAGGGGACCCTCAGCCCAGGGGTCTGCGTGGGCAAGTCTGGCCCCACCAGGCTCCTGAAATCGGGGGCCTGTTGGGGCAGGTATCCAGGAAGGACGAGAAGGAAGCAGGGTGGTGGCTGCCCAGCCGGGGGTGTGTGAACCTTCACGGCCACCTCCTTTCAGTTTTCTGCACGGGGTTCTGAGTTAGACCTCAAGAATAACTAAGTCAGACGAAAGCACAGGCCCACCTCCTAGAGGGTGGGGATGCTGGCCCTCAGCTCCCGTGGGGCCAGGCCTACCTGCTCAGTAGCTGAAGGGCAGAGCCATTCTGGAGGGAAGGGGGAGGGGGCTGAAAAAACACCATTGCAAGCCTCACTTCTGAACACCACAACCAGCCAAACCACGGCCTCACGCATGCACCAGGGGTGACTGGTCAGGACCCTGTAGCCACCGAGCTGCTCCAAGTGTGGGCCCCGACTTGGGTGCAGGAGACCCTGAGATTCCATGGAACCAGTTGGGGAGCCCACTGCAGTTCCTCCCTGGATGGGGTGGCCCTGTGCAGAGCTGCCGGGAGTTGGCCTCTCATCTTCCTGTGGCAGACTCCAGGGCCAGGGGAACCTGCTCGCCTCAGTCCCTCCCTCTTCTGTCATTGCCTGCTGTGGGGGAGGTAGCCCAAGGCACCTGGGGGCCTGGGTCTGGGAAGGTCCTCGCTGCCAGGCTGCCTGCCACTGCCTCCCTGCTGGGGGGGGGCGGGGGCGGAGGGAGCAGGGCCAGGAGGTAGGTTCCCTGGTCCTGCCCAGCAAAGCTGAGAGCTGACACGTAGCGCCTCCCATCAGGTTTATTCAGTTGCACACTAGCTGGTCAGGTACAAGATGGAGAACAGTCTGGGGACAGCAGCGTGGCTGGCCCGGGAAGCACACGGGGCACCAGGGATGCTCCCTGGGGCAGAGTGCCGGAGGTGGCATGGTCAGCACCCTGAGGAGGAAAGGGGGTGGCCCGCTGGGTCACTGTTCCCCTGAACCAGCTCCCCCAAGGCTGGGCAGGAGGACGTGCCACCTGGAGCTGGGGGGTAGAAGGCTCCCAGGGCGGGATAGGGGAGCAGCAGTGGAGCCGGGAGGTTGGAAGCTGGGCCCTCCCTGGTACGCAGGGTGGCACCGCTCTGGTCGAAGATGCCCTCTGCTCAGCCTGCCTGCTGGGCTACTCCACTGTGCTGGACGCCTTCTCTGTGCAGCTTATCAGGAAGGCCACAAGGGCCTGCTGCAAAACGGGTGCCTTGCAGGCGGGTGGGAGGCAGCATCCTCACCAGCCCTTCTGAGGCCAGGATGGTTGGAGAGGGCACCGCAGCTTGGTTAAAAACCACGTGAGCCAAACTCTGGAGGCACGGGAAGCACAGCAGGGAGAGGGCTCCGGGTGATCTCCCTCTTCTGGTCAGAAGTCACAGTTGTCTTCCTTCTGGGGCCACACCTCCTGCCGTCTTCTGGCCTCTAGGAAGGCCAGTTCCTTGGCCTCCTTCTTCTGGTTCCGGGCCTCGTACTCTAGCCTGGGGGCCAAGTAGGGGTGAGTGGTGTGCCCAGGCCTGGGCCCCAGCGTCTGTGCACCCCCGGGCCCAGCGGAGCCCTGACCTGTTCTTGATGATGCGCTGGACAATGAGGTCCGTGGTGAGGTCATTCCCACTGTCAATCTGGCGGAAGATGCCCCTTCTCTTGGGCTCCTGGAGGCCAGAGAGGAGGGAGATGAGGGACCTCCTCTGGACCCCGAGGAGACTGCCCCGCTGCCCTGACCTGGAGAGTCCCCACCCAAGGGAGACCAGCACCCTGGTGCAGTGGGCAGTTACTCCCGCTCCTTAGCAACCTGCCTCCTCATACTTCGAGGCCATAGGAGCGGCACTTACTGCCACGCCCATTCCCAAGACAGGCATCGTGGGGCTGGGGGGCATTAGGTAGCTGGGCGAGAGTCCAGCACAACCCACCTGGTACGGGTCGGAGCCGTCCTTGTCAGGCACGATTTCTGTCTTCCCGTGACACACCAGATCCACCTGAGGAGGGAGCAGCGTCAGGCAGCCCTCCTGGCAGCACCCTACTTGGCCCCTGCCCTCAGAAGGCCCTCCCCAGGGAGGCAGCGAGAGCCCAGGTCCTCCCTGGGATCCAGCCCCCTAGGAGCCTCACCTTGAAGTGATCCAGGAGCTCTGCTGTGACCGCATACGGGGCCCCAATCACCACTTCTGACACGTACTGTGAAGACAGGGAGTGGAGCTGATTAGCCAGGACCCTGCCAAGCCAGAGGGTGGTGGGAGAGGCAGCCGAGGCTGCTGGCGAGGACACAGGGACTGGGAGAGGCAGCATGGCGGGGCTGGCTGGCCAGGAGCCCAAGGCTCCTGTACCCCCTGGGGCCCTGAGGATTCCTGGGCGGGGCACGAGGAGAAACAGCTCCGGGGCGGCCTGACTGTCCCCTCCTCCTACCTCAGCCAGGAAGGGAGAGCCCAGCTCACCCGGCAGGCCAGCACGCTCAGGGTCCGCTCGTGCAGGTTCATGATGGGATAGTTCTTCCCCTTGTAGTGGTTGACCTCCTAGGGCCACAGTGAGGTTGGGTCAGCAGGCCGCCTCAGGCGGGCTGGGGCTGTGCTCCCTCCCAACGGTCCCTCATGGGGCACCCACCAGCATGGGGATGCCCTGGACGGGACGGCCCCGACCCCTGGAAGAGACCCCAGCTCGTCTCCTCTGCCTCCATCAGCACCCGGGGCCTCACCCCCAATGAGCTGCCTGTGCCCAACACCAGGAGCCCCTGGAGGGCCCCCACGCCCTATCAGCTGCCCAGGGCTGAGACCTGGTCAAAGTGCAAGCCCGCGATAACGTAGGGCCTCTCTGCCAGGCCGTGCACCTTCTCCAGGAAGTCCACGTGCCCGATGTCTGTGCTCAGGTTAAGAAGCAAGTAATGGATGAGAGCAGCTGACCGCAGAACTGGGAGCTCCGGCACATTCCCTCCTGCCTGCCTATCCATGACACTCCCTGCCGATGGCTGTACCCCTGAACCCCACCCTAGTCTGGGGGCCTCGAGGAGTTAGTGAGGCTCCTCCAGGTCCTGCAGCCCACTGGTGCAGATATGGATATGCAGAGGAAAGGCCCGGGGCAGGGACAAACCAACCCAACCCACCCCAGTCCTGGAGGATACGGAACAGGTCAAAGGCGCCGGTAACATAGATGACCGTCTCCCCTGGCTGGGGCTCCTTCCCAGAAGCAAACTGGATGATCTTCTGGGATGTCTGCAGAAACTGGGACACCCCTGTCCAGGGGTTCCGCCCCCCTGGGCACTGTAAGCCAAGGGGGCTCTGGTCAGCAACAGATCTCACAGGCATGCCCCTCACCTGCTCACACCCCAGGGCCCCTCTTCTGAGCTTGTCCTGCCTGCACGCACCTGTGCATTTGCTCTAGGAGACATAGGTGAGGGGTGGAGAAAGCAGGTGCAGGGCCTACAGACCAGGACTCCAAACTCCCAGCCCTGTCTCCCAGCTTGCTCTGGTGCTGTTTCCAGGCAGGTGTCTCTGGTAGGGACACCGAGGGCAGGCTGGCAATGCCCAGTCCACACCACAGCCAGGGTGGGTGGGGCCCCTGTGGCCAGCAGGACTGTGGCACCGCCCCGTGGCCACAGCGGGCAATGCAGCCAATTCCACCTTGGCCCAGCAACCAGCCCGCCAGGAGGCGGCTAGCCAACACAGCCCTAGTGGGGACTGGGAACCTTGAGGTCACTGTCTGCTCACCTGGGAGGAACCTTCTAAAAAAGTATCTCCCTGGCGGGTGTTAGGTGAGGGGTCTAAAAAGCGAGAGAGGGCCAGCCTGCCTGGTTAGAGGCCACCTCGGGCAGTCCTTGCTCTTCCTCCAGGCAGTGACCACTGTGACCGGCTAGTTGGCCAAGCTTGGCGGGCTGTACCCAGTCAGTGCCCAAAAGGCAGGGAATGGGGTGGAGGATGAGGCTCTGGGACAGCCCAGGGGTCGGGTGGTGGCCTGGCCGGCACAGGCAACACTCACCTTGCCAAAGCTGTCTGCGTACTCCCGGTACTCAGAGGACATCTCCTGCACGGAAGGGCAAGGGTTGAGGGGCCTCAGCCTCCAGACATGGCCACCCCCAGGACCCTGAAGTTCCCTGTCCTGGAGTCCACCGAGGGACAAGGCTGGGGCGGGGTGCGTGGCCCCTCTGTCCCAGCAGTGTCCTCAGCCTAGGGACCTTGGGGATTCCACCCCCACCTCTAAAGACTCACCTGACTGCTGTGATGGGCCTTGGTCACCAGCAGCATGCGGCCAACGAGGTCTGTGGTGGACACGCCCTGGGTGCGTTTGCACTCTCTGGGGACAGAGGTGGGGTCAGGGCTCTCATCCTGGGACATACTTGTAAGGCTACACCTCCAGCTCACCCCACCTGAGGGCAACCCTACTTGTGGCCAAGTCCACTGTGGCCCAGCCCCCTGACTGTGCTGCACACAGACCAGGCGTCTCCTCGCTACTCTCGGCCATGACAGAAAACCAGGAGCTGGAGGGTGGGGAAGGCCACTGAGCTCTTATCAACTAAAGGAAATAAGGGAAAAGAAGAAACCCCTTGCTAAACTCCAAGTTCGCAGTGTAGGGGTAGGCAGGCCAGACTCGGGGTGGCAGTGGCTCTGGTGCCCTTTCTGCCCACTGTCTGATGCTCAGGTCCTGCCCCACTGCACATCCTCTGCCAAAGGAACTCCAGGCTGCACTGTCCCACTTAGGAGCCACTCGCCATATTGGCTTTTTTCTGTTGCTTGACAGCCAGCCGAGGCCTGAGCCCACTGTCCTGGATGGTGCAGATCTACAACACACCTCCTCCAGTTCCAGTCCTGGCCATGAGAATCACAGGCCACAGCCCAGACAGTCCCCTTGCAGGCAGAAAGAGCTGGAGAGGCGCTTCCAGGGCCTCTCCTCCAAAGGGCGGGCATGCAGTGGGGCTTACCTGTACCTCCCGGCCTGCTTCACTTCCTCATAAGTGTCCCGGCCGTCTACGGTCAGCGTGATGTCATCTAAGGGGTGACATGCACACAAAAACAAGGATTCTTGGCTCAAAGCCACGAAGGCCTTTCAGGGCCCATGATCCCCACCCCCTGTCCCAGGCCTGCCGTAGTGTGTAGGGGCTTGTTTCTAGGGAAGGACCCAGAGCTTTCTCAGATCCTCAAAGGGCTGAGCGCTCCCCCAAGTGTGAAGAGGCCCCAGGACATCCAGATGCCCCTCTGGCGGTCTGCTCCTGAGCCCACCCTGGGTGCCCAGGCCTCTGGGACCCCCGCCCCTGCCACTCACTGCCGTGGACACAGAAGTCGCAGCTGTACTTGTCCAGTGTCTCCAGTGTGGTGACATACGGAGCTGCTGGCACCACCTCGTCCACCCACTTGATGGCCTGCACCATCCTGTACCTCTCCTCCTGAGTGAACACGGGGGGCCCCTTGTGCTTGGAGATCTCCTCTAGGGCCAGAGAAGAGGGCAAGGATACGACAGATGACCCCTGAAGGGCTGGGCCACAGTCTTGCCAGCCCCTTCTTGGGAGACGCTCCCAGCACCGAGCAAGGTCTATAACCACGCATGGACTCATGGCGGGTGGCTGTCTCTCTCACTGGGCCCTCAGCCCACAAGGGCAGGATAGCACCCGACTGGCCCCCACTGTGTCCTCTGTGGGCCACCATGGGCACTTGGGACGCGTTTGCTGGATAACTGCACGGTCCCCTCACCCAACCAAAGTTCCAGGTAAAGGCGGGAGTTCCCTTTGACGACTGGGTGCTCGGTCCTCGAAGGCCCTGGGAATCAGGTGGGAGGTGGGGAGTGAGAGGTACAGCCAGAGACTTGATCCGTTGGCTGCACTGCTCATGGACTCACTGGCCCCCCTTGCTTTAGCTTGGGACATGAGATGCAAGGTGGGAAAGCCCTGGGCGGGCTCGGCCCGGGCCAGGGTTGGGGTGAGCTTGCTGAGCTGTGCTCTTCTAGAGGATGGCCCTGGGCCAAGCCTGACCCCTCATAAGGCCCTGCAGGGTCTTAGTCAACGGGGGCAGCCCCTAGATGGGCCATGAGGCTGGAAGATGGGCATAGCAGCCCCACTTACCATCGGTGTGCACACCCACAATGAGGTAGTCGCCCATGGCCCGTGCCTGGCGCAGCTGGTTCGAGTGGCCGTAATGCACCATGTCGTAGCTGTGGAGAAGGCAAGGCTGTCAGTCCCTGTGGTGAGGGCGGGGACTGGGCGGCCGGTGAGGGGCCAGGGGGCTCAGCCTTGCTCCTCCACGGCTTCCTTAGGAAGCCTTCTGAGAAGCTGCCCCTGGGAACTGCTCTCCAGAGTCCAGCTGGGCCTGACGAGGCAGTGCTCAGCTCTCCAAACCCCTGGTCCCTGGTCCCAGGGCCAGATTTAGCAAGTGTGGTAGGTGCCCGGCTGTGCCCAGCCTGGCTGTGGTGAGCACCAGAACAGCCCCTGCTCCCCACACCAGGGACAGTGCTCTGCCCTCAGCCCCTCCCCTCACAGGAAACCACCACAGACAGTCCTTTCAAGCTGTAGAATAAACTGACATTAATTCAGCTGTGGGTTGGACTCCATACTACCCTGAGACAGTCCTGGGACCAACACAAAACAAAGTCCAACCAACAAACACGGGTGATCGCTGGCTTTGGAAATCCTTGCTCCTCCATGGCCTCCGGAAATCAGCGAGGCTCCACTCTCTGGGGCCTACACCTACCTTCCTGTTGCCTGGATTTATAGCTTTTATCCTCAAGTCCAGGCCTGGTCAAGAGTGAACTCTCAACTGAAGGCCACAGATGGCACCCACTGCAATGCTCAGGTTTCCATGTGCTCCCTATGTGCGCTGGGGAGAACCTGCACACTTCTCTGGGGGCCCCAAGCTGGGGCCTCACGCTTACTCTGCTTCATTCCAGCCTCACATTACCTTCTGACCAGGCAAAGCTGTCCCTGCTTCTTCAGGTGACTTGGGCCACCAGGTGTACAGCCATTCTACTCAATGCCACGTACTACCCCCACCACAGCGCACCAGGCCCCAGGAGAGAAGCCTGTGGGGGTCATGGGGCTCTGGCCCTGGGGCAAGGGAAAAGGGAAGTCCAAATCCAGCAGCCTGGCCAGCCCCTTGCTCACTAGACCAGCTGGGCAGTAGGAGGGGTCAGAGGCTGGGCGGTAGGGGGTGGGGGCTGTGGAATGCACAGCACGGAATGCAGGGTGGTGCTAGGTCCAGAGTGTGTCCCAGTCATTGTGGCCTTGTGGCCATGGCCTGCTGGGGCAGGGGCCCCGCCTGGCCAGGGCCAAGGTCAGAGTCCACCAATGTGAAGCCATGCTCCCTCTCCCCAAGGTGACTCAGGCACAGGGGCAGAAGTACGGCAGCCCCGCTTGCTCTCAAAAGTCTGCGCCTAGGGGTAGGGCCCTGGCCAGATATGGATTTTCCTTTTTCTGCCTCCCTCAAGTAAAGGACTGAAAAAGCATCAAAGATGGCAAGTCATCAGTACGGATTAGTCCTTCTCTTATCTGTTGACAGTCCCAAACTTATTTTAAAACCACTCTGGCTGTCTGATTTGCCAGAAAAGAGGATGGATGGCCCCTGTAACCCTCCCAGGGTAGACCCAGGAGACTGAGGACTCCACTGGGGGTCTTGAGCAGAGTCAGACAATTCCCGCGCTGACACTTGTCCAAACACTCTCTGGTCTTGTGCTGGTTAAGCTGGGACACACAAAACCCCTGGAAGATATTTTGGGTACATGGCTCCTTCAGATGGACAGAGCTCTTAAGGGCACTGAAACGGTTAAACTCATCAACATTAGATTCACGAGACTTTGGCCACCACGATCAGCGGGTTGGGCAGCCGGGCTGGCTGGGTCTGCGGCTTAGTAGTAAAGGCGGAAACGGGGCGCCTTGGGAAGAGGCGCTTCCATCACAGTCCTCGGAGTCTCCAGCGCTCGGATCACGGCCCCGCCCGCGCTGTGCGGCCTCACGCCGGCCTGCCTGCGGCGGGACCAGACTGGGGGCGGGACGGGGTGGCCCGGGTGCC